ATGTAAGTCAGAACTGGCGGTCAGTTTCAGCAGCGGCTGAATCTGGACGCCAGTTCCGACTTACATACAGATTCAACTTAAGAACAAAACTACAGTCCCTATCTTGTACGTAACCCGGGGACTGCCTGTATTTTGAAATAATGGGCGTACTGTCAAGATGCGGAATATCTATTTCAGGATATCGGAAGTATTCCGAAAGAGCACTACCATGTAGATGTACCCTTAGCTATGCTATAAACAAAATGGTAATTTAATCAAAACTTCCAAAAAAATCAATCTTTTCTTTACAATAGTTATGCGGATAACTTTTTGCATCTCTCTCTCAGTCTGATGTCTCAATTCAGATTTTACAAAATGATGACAAACCAACAACAGATGAGAAGAGGATTAGAGAAACATACTCCTGAAGGAATTCTGCACTGGTAAATTAAATATTCTGCACCAAAACATTAACAATTCTGCACATATTTTAAATTTCTGCAAAATTCTGCATATTTTGTCTAAATAGCACAATATAATCACACAATTTTCAATTAATTGCTAACAAGTACTTTGAAATAAATTACCAAAATCAAAATCCTGTGATTATATCATTAGTGTTTGTTATATTTTCACAATTAAAAGATGCAAAAATTTGCAAAATGTTTAGCCTTTTAATTTTTTTGGTGCAGAATTCCAACAAGAATACCACAGTTCTCCATGGTGCAATAAGGGTGTGGGCAGACAGAGTGCATGAGAGCAATCTGGATGCACAGGGTCTCTCTGCAGAATTCTGGGTGCTGGGAGAATGGGACACTACAGAGGAGTCCAGGTGAAGCTAGTTAGGGTTGGGAAGGAGAGTATGGCTAAAGTGAAGCCAATGGGGTTCAGTGGAATAGGGGCCTACATGTGGGGGGCTTAGCTTGGCAGGGTGCAGGTTTGAGTGGTTTGGGGGGGCGGGTTCAGGACACAGGCAGACCCTGATACAGAGTGGCTCTGTGGGGCGGGTTCACTGTACAGGGAGCTACTCCATATGACTGCCCAATCTCTATGTATCTGGACCCCACTGATGAGCCTCATCCTACCCCATATGTGGAACACTGATTCCCGTCCTTCCACCTACTCCCAGTGATTTACCTCTCCCCTGGCTGCCTGGTGAGCAAGTACTGGTGTAGATACCCTTTGCTTTCCCACAGCAAACATTTTCTGTAAGGAAGCAAAGGGAATGGGGGGAGGGCAATTTTTCTGCTTCTTTGCAATGGTGCAACGTTTCACCAGGAAATAAAGGACTGCATTGGGAATCACAAACTCCTTAGCTTAATCCAGCGATGGGCAACTGAGGCTAGTGAGTGGGCTGTATGAGTTGTCCTCTTTCATCTCAGTGTGCTGCAAAATTTCTACAACTAAGATGGTCCCTTAGGATAGAGTAATTTTAATTTTGCTAGCTATGCTTGTGAACCTAGAATGTGTAGGGTGTGCCAATTGACCCACAGCAGCACTTTGACTAGATGCATAGGGAGTCCATTGCTCTCAGAATATTGTGTGCAACCAGCACGCATCTCACTTCACATGCATGTCACTTTAGTAATACTGGTAAGAAAAAAAAACATATGCAGATGGAAACCGGTGGAATCTAGTAACCCTGTGCGTCAGCCACACAGAACCCCAATGGGCTGATGTGGCACCCACCAATGGTTTAATCCCTGCTCTGCCACTGACTCATAGTATGGGTTCAGATCCCTTTTCAGATACTTTCCCTATGTACAAAATAGCGCTCATGCATCTCAGATGTCACAGGGATATTGTGAAGATGAATATTTACAAACATTAAATGAATTAAATACCTCATCTTCACAACATTCAATGAATGAATTAAATTTACAATTACTTGACTGAGACAGTAACAGTTCAATGCACCATAGTCAATTGTGTAGGTCATCTCTGAATTAATAAATTCAAACTACTTAGAACTCAGTGGGTAAACATACATACTGCTTAAATCAAGAACTTCATATTCATCCACTACATACCCTTAAATATCATTTATTCTGGGTAGCATCTTACAAACATAAGAAGTGCAGAGCTAACGCACACCCTTCTTTAAAGTTTATGGAACTTTTGCTTTTGCAAACAAATCTTAGAATATATTCAGTTTCACTAACTAATAAGTAATTTGGGGTTTCTGGTTTCAAGTTAAACAGATAAGGATTAATTTAAAAAACTCACTTTTCCTGTTTTGGAGTTTTACCCATTAAAATAAAAAGTTTAGCTAGGATTAGAAATTGTTTGCAGAGACAGATCCTAAAGAACTGTCATATATACTGGAAGTTCATCCCCAGAAATGCAGGTGTTTAGAGGGAAGAGGAAAATTATATAATTCTGGAATTTTTAAATATTCTATATTGTTAAATGTTTTGTAATTCATTTGCTAAACACTGATCCAAGTCAATTTTTATTCCCAGTAAGTTATGTTCCTGAAAATACACACCTAAAACCAACAGTCCTAATTAAACATCTTAACTTTAGAAATATTTTTTTAAAACTTCATCTAAGTCTGGACTATGCTGTGTTCTAAATTAAATCAATTTCTGGATTAAAATTCAAAAGTTAAAATCACTGTTACCATAACAGATTACTCGAATAGTAGTGAAAATTCAGTATTGAAACAGTATCCTAGTATGCTTGGGATCTGTCTTCTTTTGAATGAGAAATGAAAGAGAGTATGTCTACACTGCCACCCTAGCTCGAACTAGGGTGGCTAATGTAGGCATTCGAACTTGCAAATGAAGCCTGGGATTTAAATATCCCGAGCTTCATTTGCATGTTCCCAGGCACCGCCATTTTTAAATGCCACGTAGTTTGAACTCCCTACCCAAAACCACAAACGGCATGGACTAGGTAGTTAGAATTAAAGCTCCTAATTCGAACTACCATTATTCCTCCTGCAAAATTTCAAGATTGGCTATTACATTCTAGGGATGTGAAAGTATATCCATATAAATGGTTAACCAATCAGTCTGGGCTTACTGGTTAACTTTCACTGCTATATGCAGACTCCCGCCCTGTTACTGGCCAGCTGGATGCCGCCCCCCCTGTGCTGCTGCCTCTGTATCAGAGCCAGCAGTGTGTGGGCGGTAGCTGGCTCCCCAGGAGTGAGTCTGCAGGCAGAAGCCAGCTGCTCCCCCTCACTGCTGCCTTTTAAACCGGCTCCACACCAGCTCCCAAAGAGCTGGCTGCCACCCCATGCTGCTACCTATGTATGCATCAAAGGCAGAAGCGGGGGCAGCAGCTCCCTGGAGAGGGCCGGCTGGCAGGAACCAGCTGCTTCTCTTTGCTATGTGCCAGGGTAACTGTGTAACCGCTGAGATTCTCAGTAGTTACATGTTTACCCAATTCCCACTTTTTAACATCACTATTACATTCTGCCAATTGAAAAAAATACATATTCAGAGTTTTGTACAACATTCTTAATTTTCTGTCCTGAACAGTTGTGGTACATTATAATGTACAGGTTGGTCCTCTCCACTCCGGCACCCTTGGGACCCGATTGGTGCTGAAGCACAGAATTTGCCAAACTATGGAAGGTCAATATTGTCTAGCACCATTACCAACACTTCCCCTGCTTACTGAGCTCCTGGAAGACATTTGGGGTAAATTAGAGCTAAACAGCACAGAAGACTGAGAGTCAGGACTAGTGGCTGTAAAAAAACTTCATGGGACCACGGAAAACTTGGCCACACCCATGTTAAATGGATATCCAGCTAACTAAAATCATGATGGACCACAGATGTTGCTAGACCAGAGAGTGCCCGATTAGAGAGGCTCAACCTGTATTGTTTAACACCTGCCATCTTTTACAGAACAAATGGCCACACTTAAGTGGAGTATATCTTTCCTTAATTATAAGTTGTAAAGCGAGTTCATTAAGCATAGTCAGTGAATACATGCTTGCAGATTTCTGCAATGCAAGTTTTTATTCAACATTCAGGTTTGCTTTCAATGAATTGTAAATATATATATATATATATACACTACTTGCATCATCAGTCATAAGTGTTGCTATTGATCTTCCAATTTCGTGATACTGTGGTGCCTTGCCAGCTGGACCCAGTAACAAAAAGAGGAACCTGTAGGAAAAATTAGAGTGGAGACCGGGAAAGCTGGATTATTTCATCTTAAAGCTTAAGGTTTTGTTTTAACTGACATACTATTTCAAGAAGAATAGTGACTCTCCTGTGGTAACTATAATTCGTACCCAACATAAAACAAATCTTATTGTGATAGGATATGAAAATATAAATGCTTATAATTTAGCACAATTTCCACTTAAGTATAATCATATAGATCTAACAAACATTTATATATGTGCTTAAATGTACACAGGAGCTGTCTCAGGAAAGTTAAATAATATTATATACATATATGTGATTGCAAAATTCTGTTGCTTTGAACTAGTGCTGAGTAAGGCACCAAAGCAGCTAAAGAGGGAACCTCAATATTTTTGCCTTATTCTGTTTATTAAAAACCAAACACTATCAAATTTCAAAGATACACAATAGCATTTTTCCTCAATTTATGGTATTTCCTATACTAATAGAGGTTGGACCAACAGCCTGAAAGCCCATTGCCCACTGCTGGCAGCATGCCCCAGCAGGCAACCCTACCTCGCCCTCCCCCCAAACCCGGCTGGGCAGCTTGCGCAGCTGCTGCTGGCTTCCTGGCAGGTGGCTGCCGCTGCCAGCCTCAGCCCCAGCCTCAGCCCACACTTCCAAGGGCTGCTGGAGGCTACTTCTGGGCCCTAGTCCCAATCCTGTGCTGCCCCCAGCCGGGCTACCAACCATGATGCCCCACCCAGCTGGCACTCCTGCCCTTAGACTCCCAGGTTCTCTGGTCCAGCAGTATCCATGGTTCCTCTTTTTCTCTTTAGTAAAAATCCAACTGCTCAAACCAAATCATAGGTTATTTCTTCATATCAAATATTAAATTTCATAATTTGTAGATTTATAATTTTGGTACTGATAAAATGGATTGTATCATGTTCTATAGAAATAGAACATGAAGATTTAAATACCGTAACTTTGGAATGATTTCCTGTGAAAAATTAAAAGTGTTGCTGTTTTCCAAAAAAGACTTCTCAAAACCATGTAATTCAGTTACAATATTGTCAAAGTTAGTAGACCAATATTTGTATGTAATATTTATATTGAAAATCCTTCAATTCAATTTCCACACTATTCTTGTAAGAAAAGCACTCTCCAAATTCTCTGAAGAAACTGCAATTGCATTTTAGATATAGAAATTAAACTACAATGTTTTATCCTTCTCCAACAGCCACCATCCAATGCACGTATTTTTTTCTCTGATGGCAGCTCTAAATGAATTTTATGAAAACATACACAAAATGATTTAGCCATATTTTCTCTGCAGTATGCTGCATAAATTAGTTCATCAAAAATTATCTTGAAAAGTCATTTTACATAATCCCATAGTAAATTAGCCACATTTTTGTCTACAAAATTTATTTCATTTTCATAGTGATAGAAATGTAGCTGTGTTAGTCTGGGGTAGCTGAAGCAAAATGCAGGAAAATGTAGCACTTTAAAGACTAACAAGATGGTTTATTAGATGATGAGCTTTCGTGGGCCAGACCCACTTCCTCAGATCAAATAGTGGAAGAAAATAGTCAACCATATATACCAAAGGATACAATTAAAAAAATGAACACATATGAAAAGGACAAATCAAATTTCTGTGAATGTCTGTAAATGTCTGTGAGGTAATGATATTAGAGGTGATAATTGGGGACGCTATCTTTGTAATGGGTAAGATAACTAGATCCTTTGTTCAGACTCAGTTGTAAAGTGTCGAATTTTAGCATGAATAACAGTTCTGAGGATTCTCTTTCAAGTGCAGTCTTAAAAGGCTTTTGAAGCAGGATGCAGGTAATTAAGTCGTTGAGACAATGTCCTTTCTGGTTGAAATGGCAAGAAACTGTTTTTTCTTTGTGATCCTGTCTAATATCTGTTTTGTGGGCATT